GGTGCCGAAATATGCGATCTCGTAGGTCTTTTCATCCTCGACACTCTCAGCAAAACAACAGGTAACACCAACATCGGCCTCTACAGAAACGATGGCCTATCCTTACTAAAGAACGCATTAGGCCTGGAGGCGGACCGCTTTAGGAAAACAACATCAGCCCATTTCAAACAATACGGCCTTTTAATCTCCATAAACACTAACTTAAAAGCAGTCAACTTCCTGGACTTCTCACGAAACCTAACGAAAGGAACAAACTGCCCTTAGAGAAACCCAACAACGATCCCCTTTGCGTCCATGCTGAATCCAACCATCCCCCTTCCATCATCAAGCACCTTCCACAGTCTATTAACCGGCGTATCTGTGACGTCCCCTGTAACGAAGATGTATTCAACAAGGCCAAGCCCACATACGAAGACGCCCTGAAATCAAGTGGATATAACACCCATCTCTCCTACTTCATGCAAGCCACACCTTCACCCCCTAGTTCCTGTGACTGATCAAAAAAAAGAAGACAGATAATCTGGTTCAAACCCCCCTTCAGCAAAAACGTCGAAATTAACGTCGGTAAAACTTTCCTTACACTTGCTCAGAAGCACTTCCCCACCTCTCACAAATACCACAAAATCTTCAACCAAAACACTATCAAAGTCAGCTACAGTTGTATGGAAAACATGGATTCTATTATCAAGAGGCACAATCAGAAAATCCTGAACCCCCCCTCGACGAGCCAAGACCGCAAGTGCAACTGCAAAGTAAAACAAGCCTGCCCCTTACAGAACAACTGCCTCGCCTCCTCCTTAATTTACAAGACTAAAGTCACCACAAACAAAGACCAAACGGGCAAAAACTACATCGGCCTAACAGAAAATTATTTTAAACAAAGATATACGCAGCATTCCCTCGCATTCTGAAACAAAGCCTACGCTAACAGCACCGAGCTATCGAAATACATTTGATAACTTAAGAGCACCAACACTCCCTACTCCATTCATTGGTCGACAATCCACATAGCCGCATCTCACAAAGGAAATTCAAGAGCATGCAGCCTCTGCCTTGCCAAAAAATTCCTCATTATCACCGTGGACAAATCCACTTCATTGAACACACGATCAGAACTCATTTCCAAGTGCCGCCATGAAAACAAGTTCTACTTGCGAAACCAAAAGAAAAAGTCCTTCTTTCTTCTTAATTGCTTCCTATTATTTTAAGTATAATTTCTATTTATAAATTGACTTTATAGCACGGTATTTCTTCCATCGATAGTAAAAACCGTCTGACGATCGCAGCGCAAGCTACGTGAAACTCAGAGTAACGGTGAAACGATTTTCCTGTCATTATTTTATAACCGCTATATATATATATATATCATTATACATCAAGATCTAGGTTACTTGAACTTTTACTGCAACTCTGATTTTTATGCCTCTTGCGAAGCAATCGTCAGGCAACTGCCAGAAATAACGGTTACAATCCACAGAAATTTAAAAGACAGAACAATGTGTACATGCGCGCACAACGTACTGCACGCGCTATCGTAACGTTACGTTCTTTAACAGGAATTTCCTGACATGTCTGCAACCTGATGTCAGCTCATTTCTTTTGTTTAAACTTGCCATCTGCGGTTTACAAATGATAAAGTATTTCTCCCACAAACACAAGTTGCATCTTTTAGCTACATTGTAATACGAACTAGCTTGTTTCACCTTGCACCACTTAATATTAAACTTAGTGTCCTTTGTTAGGTTCCAAGAGTTCGATGTCGCCATAGTAGTTACACAAAATGGCACATCAACCAATGCTAGGAGTAATAACTGATTTACTTCTCATAGTGAATCATATTATATACAGGTTTTTAGATAGGCGTAATTAGAACGAAACGATAATCATTTTAGGCATTTACCACAAAGGAAATTTGCAGGTGAGCAGTAGTACGTTGTGGTGTATTCTAATCTGGGGCAACTGTTAAGTAACTTAAGTGTGGGTGCTCGGAATATCCGGGCATGTATTCTAACAGCGTCTTGAACAGCCTCGAAC